GGACCTTCGACCAACTCTATGAAATTCGCAATTGATTCATCCGACAAGAACCGAAATCACCAAGGCCTTATTACCGGTAAAAAAAACTAATGAACAGCAACCTCAGAAGCCTATTGAAAACAAGAGAGAATCAATTGGTTTGGAACACCACAAAATGACCGTGATACTGATCGATGCTAAGGAAATTACAATAGGAAATTATTTTTGAATCGAGATTTAAGGAATTGACAATAGGAAATTATTTTTGAATCGAGATTTAAGGAATTGACAATAGGAAATTATTTTTTGAATCGAGATTCATAAATACAGGAGTCGAGAGTAGTTGGGAAATCTCTTTCGATTTACCCAAGATGTCCGAAACGGACTCATGATCATAAAAAATCAGAAAATTAAAAAAACAAAAATTTTAATAGGAAATTTCATAGGAACTTTTCACGATAGTGTTATTAAAAGGAATTGAGATCAATTTAGAAAACTGACGTAAAGGACTATTGGAACCTGTAAACTCAGAACTAAAATCAGGAATTTCGATATACTGAATATCAATCATTAGACAAACAACGACACGAATGTGATTAGCCAAAATCATTAGTACTAAGAAACAAAGTCCAACCAAGAATCAAAGTTTTTTCTCGAGAATTCATTCACAGAATCAGAACAGGAGCAATCAGGCCAGCGTCCGGTACACTGAGACACCGAACCCTACATGGGCAAAACTGACCATAAGAGCCATCACTTGACAATACAATCACCGCCCCCTCTTCCTCAGCAGCAACTGCTTACCCAATCCCCCTCGAACCCAACCCCAGCATCTCCGGGGGACGAGGAAGATCCTTCGTCCCACTGTCAGCCCCTAGGCTTCTACGCAATGCTAACACCGAAGAAATTAACGGTCATCTTCAATCCCCCCGAAGGAATCAGAGATGGTGTGGCACCTCCTCACCAAACCCGTTGGTGCGCCGCCACAGGGAGTTCAAGCCCGCATGTGAAACCGCTTACCGTGTTGTTGAGGAAGAAGGAGCCCATAACCCTAGCTCTTTTGACCTACAGCATTGTGATGCACAACCTCCCTTCAACGTGAACACTCCTTCGTAGACAACCTTCCTCTCTGCAAGCGTAAAAAAACAGCGATTTCGTTAAAACGTTCAT